GGAGGCTGGCGCGGCTCTGGCGCTCAGTGGGCGCGCAACAGATGTTTGCGGAATTGAGGGACATCAAGGTGGACTGGAACACCCAGCGGCGCGGGGTCGGGGACTGGAGGGCGTGGGCGGGGAAAGCGACCCAGACCCCAGCCCGCTGGGGTGACCAGGCACTCGGGGCGCTCCTGGGACCGCTGGGCTAGGAGACCCTCCGCCGGGGAGACCCGGGTAGTAAAGAACAAGGGAGAACGGGGTGGGCAGGAAAGTCTAGGCCCCACCTACAACTGCCGCCACAGCTCCTGGCCTCCAATCCTTGCGACGGTCTGCTGGGGAAACCGAGGCAGCCGAGGCTGAGAAGGGCCAGGAAGGTTAAAAGCGGGATTAGCGACGAGGCAGAGGCAGCAACAAGAATTCCCGCGTGGATCCCTGGATTCGCTCGTCCACCTCGGTCCGCTTGCGGCTGGATCCACCGCCACGCCCCCCCTCGCAACGCAGACCCTCCCTTCCCGCTTCAGCTTGTCGGATTTCCCCCACCACCCACCCCGCGCCAGTTTATAGAACAACAATTTGGGGAAAACAATCCGGGCCAAGTGACGGCCCCGTAATTGTGACAAAGTGAGTGCGGGAGGCTGAAGAGAGCGTTAGGGCGGGAGCGCGGCGCGGTGAGGCGGAGGCAGGGGCGCCTCCCGCCGGCCCTGCGCCCCCTCGTTCTCATTCCGGTCACCTCCCATCTCTCCTTGACTCTTCTCCAATTCCTCTTCTCCCGGCCCCTCGTGCCTCCCTTCGCTTGTTCCTCCATCGCTCTTCCCTTTCCTCCCGGTAACAGCTCTCCTGCTCCCCACCTCCCCGCCGCCCCTTCCCCGTGCGCTTTTTCCTCGCTCACCTCTCCCTCTCTCCTCCGACCTTCACTGGTTTCTCCATCTTTTCCTCGCTCTAACATTGCCCTTGAACCCCCTACTCTCCCTGCACAACCCGCTGCTCTCCCTCCCCAGTCCTCTCTTCCTGCGATGGTGCCCTGAGCCCCCTTCCGGACCCCCACGCTCCCGGAGGACAGCGCTGCCCCGCACTCCTGGATTCCTTCAGCCGCAGAGCTGGCGGCGCGCTGAGGCCCAGGGGGCCCCGACGGCCTGGCCCTTCCCTCCCCCTGCTGCCGCTGCCGCCCCCACCCCCTGCCTGCGCCGGGAGCTAGTTTGTTTGTCCAGCGGCCGCCGCCGCCGCCCGCGCTGTTTGCCAAGCTTAGCGCGCTGCTGCGCAGTCCTGGCCCAATTAAGTCTCATTCATTATTCAGCGCCCCTGTCCTCCCCTAGCCCTGCCCGCAGCTGGGGCGTCGCTTTGGGGTCTCTCCCAGCCCAGGCCCCTCAGTGAGCCCTGAGGGGTCACATAGGGAGCCGCACTTTCTCCCCCGGCCGGGATAAAAACTGAAGAGGTAGGGGGCTTGAAGGGATCAGAAGCACCCTGCCTGCTGCAGAGCGGCGACACCGGTGAGGCCCACTGGGCCCACCCCTCCCTCAACTCAAGACTGGGAGACCTTGCAGAGCCAAGCCCTTCTTTTATAGAGGAGAAAATTGAGACCCAGGACGCGGGGTGACTTGACCAAGGTCACGGAGCAGAACCCAGGACTGGAGGTCGGGACATTGAAACGAAGGCATCTTGCATCCCAGCTCCACAGAGACGCGAGGAAGGCAGATCACGCTCTCCCCTGAGTTCTGGGCTGCAGCCTCGCTCTCCTGATGGGGCGTTTCCACCTCTATCCCTTTTCGCTTGTTTCTACCTCCCTCCCGTAGCCGGCGGGACAGAGTCGCCTCGGGGCTCCCACTGGGTGGGGAGGCTCCTCAGGTCTCAGGCTCAGGTTAAGATGTAGGACCCTCTAACTGGAAGGCCTGGAGGCGGGGCAGTGAGGCCAACTCGGGGTGGGGGCCCTCCCTGCAGCCTGTCGGTGAGCGTCTCTGCCTTAGTGGAAATGGAAATGGAACCATCCAAAGGCAGTCTTGAAGGGCAACGGAGTGTGGAGAGAAGAGCGCGCAGCCTGAGGTGAGGGAAGAGTCACTCTCCCAGTTGTCGGGGTGGGAAGGGGCAATCAAGGGCCTAGTTTTGCGTTTATAGGAGACTGTCTTTTCTCCGCACTTCCATAGCGACCCTCCGTAGGGCCGCTGTGCCAGGGCATCCAGACAAGGTGAGTCTGGGAACCCGCGCGGACCCGCCCTTCCGTGAGCGGCAGCGCCACCTGGCGGCCGCGGTGCCGCGGTGCAGGAGGCGCGCTCGGCCTGGGGTGGGGCGCTGCGCCAGCCCCTTTGAGGCTGATGGGCCTGAGAAGCCTTGGATCGAGTTTACCTGAGAGGGCGGGCCAGAGAAGTCCGGGGCGGGCAGGTGAACCCAAGGGGGCCGGGAGGGCCTTGGGGAGGGGCCTGGCCTGGGGCGGCCTGACTTTGTGACACAGCAGAAAGACAAAGTCCATTTGGATGGAAGTGGGAGCAGAGTGAGAGGGGCCATCTTGACTCTGTGGTCAAAGGAAATGACTGGTCTGGCGCGGTCTGGGAGCCGGGCATCCAGGTACTGCCGCTCGACCTGGGACTAGAGGGTACCGGCTGGTGCTCCTGAGGCCCGCTCCACGTAGCGGGGAGAGATTGGCAGGCACGCTTAGGCGTCTGGCTTGATATTCTGAGAATTTGTCCAGCAGCTTTGGAGGGGCTTTCTGGGCCTTCCTCTGAAGGAGGTGGTGGAGTTGTGCGGTGCCAAGGTCTACGTCAAAGTGCAGTTTTCCAAAATATTGAGGTGGAGAGAACTCAGGACCCTTTTAAAGTCTGACTTGTGGGAAAAGTTCATGGAGAGACGGGAAAGCTGGAGAAGGGCTGAAACCTGGGCCAGGTGTCTGAGGACAGCCATAATAGGAGTTAAGTGGAGGGTGGTGAGACAGAGGCTTTCAAAAAGTGTGGGAACTTTGGAAGAGTATCCTATTCAGACTTCTCCTCCACACTACCTTCCACCCTATGAGCTATTCTGGGGTCACTGGTCTGAGGGGAGGACTGAAATTTAAGTTTCTGCTCTTTTGCCTGTGTTCTGAGTTCTCAGTTGCTGAACTGAAAGCATTTAAAACATTCTTCTTTCCAAATTTGGACTCGCTGTGGTTGTAAAGAAGAGGCCTGAGGTACTAGAACAAAGGTATGGGCTAACCAGCATTTCAGGGACACTCGGGCAGAGCTAGACTCGGCTTTTATTGGAAAGAGAAATGGTTACTGTGTTGGAGCCTGGATATAGTCTTATGACTCTGCTTTTTTTCATCTTTTAGGGTCTAAGGATGACTCTGGGGCCATGTTGGCTGTGATTCTCACAGAGGACCCCAAGATTTCTGCACTCTGAGCAGTTGACAAGTGCCACTGGACTTGTTCTGAGACTCTTGCCCTGGGGGATGACAAAGGGGCTCCTGGTAACCTATGCCCTGTGGGCTGTAGGGGGCCCTGCTGGGCTCCACCACCTGTACCTGGGAAGGGACAGCCATGCCCTGCTCTGGATGCTCACCCTGGGGGGTGGTGGGCTGGGATGGCTCTGGGAGTTCTGGAAGCTCCCCAGTTTTGTAGCTCAAGCCAACAGAGCCCAGGGGAAGAGGCAGAGCCGAGGAGGGGGGACACCCCCTTTGAGTCCCATTCGCTTTTCTGCCCAGATGATAGTGGGCATCTATTTTGGCCTTGTGGCTCTGATTAGCCTATCTTCCATGGCTAACTTCTATATTGTGGGCCTCCCACTGGCAGTTGGCTTAGGGGTCTTACTGGTGGCTGTTATTGGTGACCAGACCTCAGACTTTAAGAACACTCTAGGGGTGGCATTTCTTACTTCCCCTATTTTCTATGGCCGCCCCATAGCTATCCTGCCGATTAGTTTGGCTGCCAGCATCACAGCCCAGAAGCATCGCCGCTACAAAGCTTCAGTGGAGTTGGAGACGCTCAGTGTGCGGCTCTACCGGCTGGGCCTGGCTTACCTGGCTTTCACAGGCCCGCTGGCATACAGCGCCCTTTGCAACACAGCTGCCACCCTTAACTATGTCGCAGAAACCCTGGGCTCCTTCTTGAATTGGTTCAGCTTCTTCCCCCTTCTTGGACGCCTCATGGAGTCTGTCCTCCTTCTGCCTTACTGGATCTGGAGGCTACTGGTGGGAGAGCCTGGCTTCAACAGCAGCTACTTCCAGGAGTGGGAGAAGCTCTATGAGTTTGTTCACAGTTTTCAAGATGAGAAGCGTCAGCTGGCTTACCAGGTAAGGCTTTCTTCCTTCCTATTCCTGTCTGGGATGGCTCTAAGAGTTAGGCTAAGCCTTGTTGGAACTGCTGCCTCACTTGTGGAAATACCCTGTGCATGTCTGCTGGCAGGCCCTGGAAGGGTGTCCTGGCTTCTTTGGGCTTCTGTGCGTAATGTAGGTGTAGAGTGAAGGTACAGAGGCTCTAATAGTAAATGGGGGGGAAATATATATATAACTTACTTTTTATTAATGTATAACATATATAAAGTGCACTAATTTTATGTACACACCACTCAAATCAAGGTATGAAATATTTACAGGGCTGATAACATTCTTTCATGCCCCTTCCCAGTCTATCCTCCCACCCTCAGAGGTAACCTCTATTTTGACTTTATCACCACAGGTGAGTTTTGCCCATTCCTGGACTTCAAATAAATGGAATCATTCAGTATATATTCTTTTGTATCTGACATCTTTCATTTAACATTATGTTTATAAGCTTTAGTCATACTGTTGCATGCAACTGTGAATTGCTTGTTTTCATTGTTGTATAGTATCCCGTAATGTGATTATACCATAATTTGTCTACTCTATTGTTAATGAATATTTGGGTTGTTTCCAGTATGGGGCTATCATGAATAAAGCTGCTATAAACATTCTTGTACATGTCTTTGGTGGACTTATAAACACTTATTTCTCTTGTGGGGAGGAGATCTTGTCAGGGATGTGAAGTTTCAGGTTGGAAAACAGGCAGTTGTGATTAAAGACAAATCCTGGCTCTTACCATGAGATCCAGAGCTTGGCCTTGTTTCAAAAGGCCGGAATTCTAATCAGAGGTGCTGGTCCTTTCCCATGGGCAAGTAGAAGCCAATTCCAGAGATACAATAGCCTGATTTAGCACAGGAACTGGGAGAGGCCCAGGTGCCCTGACAATTTGTGAGATTCTAATTCATCAGTTTCTGTTTCCCTAAGGTTTTGGGCCTCTCAGAAGGGGCAACAAATGAAGAAATACATCGGAGTTACCGGGAGCTGGTGAAAGTCTGGCACCCTGACCACAACCTGCACCAGACAGAGGAGGCACAGAGGCACTTCCTGGAGATCCAGGCTGCATATGAAGTCTTGAGTCAGCCCAGAAAGCCCAAGGGATCCTAGGAGTGAGAAGAAACTTCCCCCTGAGGATGGACTCTTCCCAGCAGACCTGAGCAGCTTGTCCCAAGTCTAGCTTTGCCCACATCTAGCTTTGCCCACCAGCATTAAAAGAAACTGCCTACAGTGGAGATGATTAAACCTTAAAGGGGTGAGAAAGATTTTGATAGAAGAATATATTTATGTTCTGAATTTCTGGATTTTTTTTTTAAAGATGACGAGTAAGGGGATCTTAACCCTTGACTTGGTGTTGTCAGCACCATGCTGTCTGAAGTGAGCTAACCGGCCATCCCTATATGGGATCTGAACCCGTGGCCTTAGTGTTATTAGCACCACACTCTCCCGAGTGAGCCACAGGCCGGCCCTAAATTTCTTAATTCTTGCATATTGTATTCTTGACTATTTTTTCTTAAAACCAGAGAGTGAAAGGCATATTATAAAACCAATAAGATATCTTTTAAAGAATACATTTCCTTATCCCATCCCTGGTACATTGATGTGTGATGAAGGAAGGTTTTTGTTTTTATTTTTGTTTTAAAAAGATGACTGGTAAGGGGATCTTAACCCTTGACGTGGTGTTGTCAGCACCACGCTCTCCCAAGTGAGCTAACCGGCCATCCCTATACAGGGATCCAAACCTGTGGCCTTGGTGTTGTAAGCACCATGCTCTCCCAAATGAGCCACAGGCCAGCCCTAAAGGAAGGTTATTTAAAAAAAATTTTTAAGGGCCGGCCCGTGGCTCACTTGGGAGAGCATGGTGCTTACAACACCAAGGCCACAGGTTTGGATCCCTGTATAGGGATGGCCGGTTAGCTCACTTGGGAGAGCTGGTGCTGACAACACCAAGTCAAGGGTTAAGATCCCCTTACCAGTCATCTTTTTAAAACAAAAATAAAAACAAAAACCTTCCTTCATCACACATCAATGTACCAGGGATGGGATAAGGAAATGTATTCTTTAAAAGATATCT